AGTCGAGGACGTGAGACGTTCGTTGTGAATTATAGCGTGACTGTGGAAATTAAGTGTATTGCAAAGTTGTATTTAGAAAGAATAAACCAGTTTTATTTAAGAAAGGACTTTTATCGCTAAAGTTTCTTCGGAAAGAATTTTTACGGAAAATTAACTAACGACCAGAGACGTAACAGTATGTTTGTATTAAACTAACACAAGCTTCCCCTAGCGGTGACGTACAAACGAGATGTAACCTCGTGGTCCAACTGCTAGATAAAAACCCTGCCTGGATCTTAAATGAGTTAGTTCACGAGATATATATTGTCACTCGATTTTGTTATTAAAGACATTCAATTTTGGAATATTGATTTTTTCTTCTGTTTTTTTCTCGTTTATTTATCGAAGTGATTATTAACGTTGATATTTATGTTGTATTGTTCATTAACGTTTGTATCAACTCCTAGTCTGGCGCATATTTATTAAGTGAAAATTTTTTTATTCAAATTGTTTGAAATATATATTTTGGCTTTCTGTTGTTACAGTTTATTTATTTTTTATTGTTGTTGTTTGACCTTGGTTGTAGTGGCTTTTGTTTTAGTTCATTACAGTCTCAAGCAAACATAACTTTTGTTTTAGTTCATTACAGTCTCAAGCAAACATAACTTTGTTTTAGTTCATTACAGTCTCAAGCAAACATAACTTTTGTTTTATTTCATTACAGTCTCAAGCAAACATAACTTGTTTTATTTCATTACAGTCTCAAGCAAACATAACTTTTGTTTTAGTTCATTACAGTCTCAAGCAAACATAACTTTTGTTTTAGTTCATTACAGTCTCAAGCAAACATAACTTTTGTTTTATTTCATTACAGTCTCAAGCAAACATAACTTTTGTTTTATTTCATTACAGTCTCAAGCAAACATAACTTTTGTTTTAGTTCATTACAGTCTCAAGCAAACATAACTTTTGTTTTAGTTCATTACAGTCTCAAGCAAACATAACTTTGCAAAGTTCAAGAGACCAGATTGAATATTGTACCTTATCAATAAACCTTCTGAATTGCACAAATAAGTTTAAAATGCAGAAAGAAAATACATTATTTTGAACGGTTAGACCATTTTAACGTAACTGATGTTAGAAAGTGCATTTTTGCTCCTAGATTTATAAAATGCTGCCAATAACTTCAACTTTCTAGAAATCTCCGTAGCCTCGACCTCAATAACTTACAAACACAACCTCCAATAATCGTCTGCTTTTAACTCTCTTAATATAAAAAAACTAAACAATCGTGAAATATTAACTCACAAAATAAATTAAATAATACTACTTACACTAAACAGTCTTTTATATCTAACAGTCAGTATCATCACTATACAGCGTAATAAGATACATTTTGGTACACTATCTTGATATTTTCTTTTTTTTTCAGTTCAAGGTTGCCCTACTCTACCTCCTCCCACTCTTGGATATCTGGTGTATCGTAATGATAGCTCAGCCTTATACATGTGTTGCAAAGATCACTTGTTTAACGATACGCTTCAAAACTCCCGCTTTCTCTACTGTGTGGATGGAAATCGGTGGAATGCTTCGATCGACAACTGTGTGTGTAAGTAGTTATTTTAATGTACGTGTATCGTATACCGAATCAACTATATTTGTAAATGCTTACGAGATCTTGTAAAACGTTTAATATCCGTTGTTTTAAAATGGTGTGAAGTATGCAGTAGTTATTATATATTTCTTGTCAGTGTCAGAAAAATGTTAATTTTGCTTTAATATATCAACCGTTAGGCTATTCACTCCTACGACGGTTAACTTTACGTTTTCTAACTTTTCTCTGACCGAAACTCTTTCACCCTGTTTTACTTTTGGCTTTCTTCCCGCTCTATGGTCTGTGGTCTAATCGCCGGTATTTATAT